AGCCACGGCGCAGGTCTACGATGACCGATGCCAACCAACTACGGCTACACCCACTAGCAGACCACGTTCAACGCAGTCAATTAGAAAGACGCCTCTTCCCTAGTATCACACACACACACACACCGGGTACCGGGTGCTCTCCCCCATCTCCTATCTCCTCCTCCTGCTCCTCCTCCTGTACACGTTACCAGGGCGACACCCATCCCGCCGGCACCATGGCAACGCGCTCCGCCTGATGGCGAAGCTGCTGATGCTGCTGCTGCTGCTGCAGCTGCGGTGTTGCTACAGAGGATGCTGCGCCATGCGCGTGTCCGGGCAAGCAGAGACTCGGGCTGAGACGGGGTTTAAGTGCCCCGATGCGGAATTTGGGGAGGCGAGGCGAGACGAGAGAGAAGAACTGGCTCTGGCAGGCTAGCCAGTGGGGGGAGCGTGATCGCCGGCCTCCGTATAAATAAAACGCTCACTTTGTTCGACTCTTCCGAATGAGTGGGAACGTCACTCGCGCCTGGAGAAAGTCGGAGATGCAGCGAAACGGTGAGTGGAGGTTGTGGATGGAGCGCTTGGCGTACGGGTACGCCTGTGCACCCCTCCACTACCCCTCCGCACGAGTTGCATTGTCACTCGCTCTCGGATCGGTATTAAAATCGTACCACCGAGCCGTTTGCATTAACGTTACGTTGCTGCGCTTAACGTGGGGAGATATCTTAGTTTGGGTAAAAAGAGTGCACGTTTCAGACGGTCACTGGGACAGCTCATACGACGCATTTTCTAAACGACTGCGTTTGAGGTTTTTTTTTTAAAAAAAGTATCTAACATCACACCCAACACGTTGCTTTAGATGTTCGTGCATAATTTATGCGCATCCGTTACGCATTTTCTGTTGCCGTTTTTGCCAAGCCAAAGTGCCCGTTTACTGTCATGAAATCAACGAATGATATCTCCATTTGCCTCTTCGAGTCAAAATAAAATGTGTGTATTGGTGTGCATCGGCCCCTTGGCGTTCCAGACAAATTGTATGCAGCAGCATTTGTTTACAAAAATAATACGGTAGAACTCTGGAACGGCTTCGACGCTCAAGGTCTCGTGGTCGCCAGAGTCAGGCTGGTTAAATAAATGCCGCTGGCTTTCCAAGATGTTATTGGTCTAAAGCACTCCCTCCATGGACGAGACGAATCGCCAGTTAACGCTAACAAGCAATGTTGTTTGGAAACGGTCTATGGAGCTAATGGCATTTTAAAATATCTTTATTGCTGGCGAAGGGGTGGCGACGAGGTTGGCGCATCTGCACTATATGGACCTGGAGATCAGGAGTTGTAATCCCAGGTCACGGCTAACATCAGTGGCTATAGCGATATCTGAGCCAGTCCCGAACGCATCCAACATAAACGTGCTTGACCGAATGTGGTGCATTAGGGTCGACCAAACCAACCCTCAACGACACACACGGAGTGGGGAGGAGGCATTCGTCCGATCGTGGATTCAGAAAAGGGCTGTAAATTATGACAACGACGCCCTAATGTCGAAGTGTAAGTTCATCGCAATGTAGTGGCAGTCGATATTTTGTTTTTGAAAGATAATCGCCACTCGCGCGGGTGACATTCTGCCTCTCAAACGGCAAAATGCCCCACCATCTGCACACACTGTCTAAGATACAAGCAATAGCGTCTAAATAAATTATAACTACACAACTAGGAATTGATCGCGATGACGCGCAGGAGACTCGGGGGAGAGGAGCTGGCAAGGGCGCATTAATGCGTAAATCCCAATGTCAGCAACATGTGCAACCCCATAGCTGTCAACCCATACGGTTTACCCCGTATTCTGGCACAGGGAAATTGAGTTTGCAGGTCCACACGGCGTACAGCAGTTTCAATACGGCCACAAAAAAATACATTGTCTGTTCGTTTGTGTTTCTCCCTTGTGATGGGACTTTGTAGGATGAACGTTGCGATTTATAAGGGCACGGGGGGTGACCAAATAAGGTCTGAATTTGTCTGTAATAAGTTAGGCACTGATTTGGGGTTGACAGCTTTGTAAGCGTCTCCGTTGCGAGGCCAGGGGCAAGGGAAATGAAGTGGCCGAGTCGGTTGGTAGCGCGGCGTTTTCTTGTTTAGCCGCGGTCAGTGTTGGTAGCAGCGATGGTTGTTGGAGTTTGTAGCTCTGTGGTTGCGCGCACCGCTGCCCGCTGTGAAACGCCACCTGAGTTTTAAACTCATCTTTAAAAAATATATTGCCAGATAATGCCCACCGAGCTATATAGCAGCTTCTTTTTTTTACACAAAGCGACTTGGCCACGTATGAACTTCTTTCGCGCCGTACGTAGCCAACCGCGCTAATCGGGGGTGCAAATGATAGCTCGACAAATGTGGAAATGTATACCCTTTGTTTGGTTCTTTCGGTGAAGTCCCGTAGGTAGGAAAATAAATACTTACGTGACTTTACAGAAAGAAGCAAAGAGTATGAATTCCTGCAGTCACGAAAGCTTCTAATCAAAATGTGGAAATGTATAGCAACCAAATACTGTCCTCTAAAAGCATGTTGATTATACATGTGGAGGTGGTGGGGGGGGGGAAACAGAGGACCCGGAGAAAAATCCACACAGACGTCAGGGTCGGGCTCGAACCCACGACCTCCTGCACACCGTGCGAGGTAGTTAACATCTCGCTTACGGCAAAACATTAGTGACGAAAAATATTAACCGGCTCTGGGTCTCCTCTAGTGTGGAGCCAGCCTCAATTGAGTGCGCTTGCTGCGGTGTGCAAATATCGGCGCCGGTGGAGACAAAGGCGGCCGGGCATTGGCGCCGGGTCAACACAGCCTCGTGCGCTGCTCGTTGACAACACCTGACCCAACAGTCTGCACGACTATCCGGGGGATCTTTGTCTTTGGTGCAGGTTACTCTCTGCGAGTGAAAAACCGGCGCATCCTCTGTTTTTTTTTCTATTGACTCCCTCGCTCGATGGCTGCGTATTGACCGGATCTATAATCGGGTTAGCCGAGGCAGGGGGGGGGGGCGGCGCTCTGAATTCATAAGCTAATAGCCAAAAGGGTAAGGCGATAATCGCGAGACGGCCGGCAAATCCAGAAGATTAATGAATGAACTTCGTGGGCTGATGTTTTGTGAGCAGCGCAAGGCGCCTGCACACAATGCCACAAAAGACAAAGATTCCCCGTCCCCCCCTTTCTGTATAACCTTAAACAAACTGTTGTGGCAAGTGCTGTAAGCGAGCACCCATAACAGTCGGGGGGGGGGGGGGGGGGCTGTGTGTCGCCAGGAACACGACCGGACGCCTTTGTCATTTAAGGCCGAGTCTACCTAAGGGGAGTCACAGTATCGGTTAAAATATTCACCAGCTATTATATTTTATTGGTGGTGAGCGGAGGGAATCGAACTCGGTGGTTACTGGACCAACCACTACGCCACCGCTCCCCACATCGCGCAAGGACCACCACCACCAACAACAACCGCTATTTGCCACTAAGTGGCGGTGACGTCACCGCGACGCTTGTGCCAGGCTAGGTGCACGTCGAGGCCACGTGAAGCGTCGAACGCCCGCTGGCAGGAGGTCACGGGGTAAACCCAGCGGGTACCACGGGTCAACTGACTGAGATGACTGACTGGCCGATGCACCACCAGTGCCCCCCCTAATGTGCCAACTTTGTGTGCCGAAGGGACCATCCACTTACAAACACGTGCTCACAAACCAATCCAACTAAACGCTTCACATCAATGTCGGTCTCACATTTGGTCTCAACGCCTGGGCTCGATTCCCGGCCTGACAGCGAACACCGGTCCAGAGTGGTACCGGATCCGTTTCGCCTCTCCGCTACTCGATAAATATTAATTGACCAGCGTGGTGAAGTATGGTCCATGATTGACACCGCGTGGAAGAGATGTTAATCCAGTATTGACATCACAAAGGGTTTGAAACATTGCATCGGTGTGTACATACACGCGCATACAAGTATCACACACACACACTTGCACAGATGCATAGAGAGGCAGCAACACAATCACACGCGTGTATCATCACACTGCACACACACGGACGAGCAGCACAGGGCACTTGCACAGTCAATGACAATACATAAATAAATATTGCATCGCACTGCAGCCTTTGTTCCACACGTACGTCAGACAGATGGACGGATGCATAGACAGCACAGACAGACGTGCAGACACACGGACGTACAGACAGACGGCCAAAAGGGGCCAGAGAAAGAGAGAGAGAGAGCGACTGGCAAACACACACAAAGACAACAGATCGCCCGTATTGCTTTGAGCAGACTGTTGGGGCGAGCAGACAAACAAGAGTACAGACTGCACGGACAACACAAGTTTCAGTTCAGTTTAATTTATTTGGTTTTACCCTGTGAGCCATTCGGCTCTTCATTTCGGGTGCAACCGCAACAAACGATAAAATTACAAGATACATTGAAACATTGACTGCATCCCCTACAAAAACAATGAAATCTTCCAGAAAAAAAAGCACCGTATGTTCGTGCTGCGTACAAAAAAAATGTGCAAAAAAAAATCCCGCACGAAGGAACGAGAGAGACCCACACACAAATACGGTCAGACGGTGAGACGGAGACACAAACCCGGGGCGGACGCAGAGAGACACGTGGCGGGTGACAAGGTGCATGGCAGGCGTCAACGTCGTCACGTTTCGGCTCGGATTATTAGCCTGCAAAAGGCCGCCCCAATGCATATGCATGACGATGCTAATTCCGGCGAGATCTACAGAGCGCTCGCTGGATCATCACACGGGGGGGGGGGGGGGGGGGCTTGGAGGGGCTTTTTTTTGGGAAGCTCGAGGGGAAGTGCGGAGAGAGGGAGAGAGCTGAGAGAAGCTGTGGAAGTGGGGAGGTTGAGCCGGTTGTGGGTGGGAGGAGGGGGGGGGTAGTGGGATTTATTTTGCGAGTGTGCAATGTGTGGAGAGCGCTAATTGGCTTCGTGCAGCCCTCCCCTCCCTCCCTCCCGCACCACCACCACCACCACCTTCCTTGGCACTCGCGTGCCTCCTACGGATCCGTGATGTTGCATCCTCCTGGCGAGTCGAGGCGCTTCCCAAGTCTCGGCGTCTCTGGCGCCTGAGATCTGCAGAGGCGTGGGGGTGGAGGTGGGGGCAGCAGCATCGGCAGGCACTGCGCTAGCGAGGAGGAGGAGGAGGCAAGGTCCTCGCCTGACACCGCTCTCTATCCTGCTTCCACTATCATCCTCGGCATCACCACTACCACCACCATCATCATCACTCTCGTCTGTTAGAAGAAGGGGGAGTTGGGGGGGGGGTACGCCATTAGTTAATGGCTAGATCGGTGTTATTATTCTAGTATTATTATTATCAACAACAACACACATTATAATCATCAGTTTACAAAAAAAAAACAATATTAGCTTATGACTACATCAGTCATTTTCATTATTCCATTATCATAACCATCATCCTAATCTGTATTGTTATTTGTAATATTAAATCTCTGATTAATTGCAAAAAACCTTGAACGTGCGGCGTTGGCAACTCAAAGAGCGCTAGCGAGGCCAGCTAATAATCGTGGCCAGCTAATAATCGTGGCACGTACCGCGATTATAATGATGAGTGTGAGTGACGACACTTCACCGTTACTGTGCCGGGATCTCGCATGGACTCGTATCCTCAGAGTGGGCACGGAATGGTGATGAAACGGAGCCAATTTGCTTCGCTCCTCCGGCGCTGGACCAGGGATCAAACACGTGGGTGAGTGTGTGGGTGAGTAGGCGGGTGTGTGAGTGGGTGAATGGGTTGGTGAGTGTGTAGGTGGGTGGGTGTGTGAGTGAGTGGGTGAATGGGTTGGAGAGTGTGTGGGTGAGTGTGTGAGTGAGTGGGTGAATGGGTTGGAGAGTGTGTGGGTGAGTGTGTGGGTGAGTGTGTGGGTGAGTTTATGAGTGAGTGGGTGAATGAGTGGGTGAGTGGGTGAAAGGGTTGGAGAGTGTAGGTGGGTGAGTGAGTGGATGAGTGAGTGGGTGAATGGGTTGGTGAGTGTGTGGATGAGTGTGAGTGAGTGGGTGAGTGTATGAGTGAGTGGGTGAATGGGTTGGTGAATGTGTGGGTGAGTGAGTGAGTGGGTGAATGGGTTGGTGAGTGTGTTGGTGAGTGTGTGGGTGAGTGAGTGGGTGAATCGGTTGGTGAGTGGGTGAATGGGTTGGTGAGTGTGTGGGTGAGTGAGTGGGTGAGTGAGTGGGTGGGTGAGTGTGTGAGTGAGTGGGTGGGTGAATGGGTTGGTGAGTGCGTGGGTGAGTGTGTGAGTGAGTGGGTGAATGGGTTGGAGAGTGTGTCGGTGGGTGAGTGAGTGTATGAGTGAGTGGGTGAATGGGTTGGTGAATGTGTGGGTGAGTGAGTGAGTGGGTGTATGGGTTGGTGAGTGTATGGGTGAGTGAGTGGGTGAATGGGTTGGTGAGTGTGTGGGTGAGTGAGTGGGTGAGTGAGTGGGTGGGTGAGTGTGTGAGTGAGTGGGTGGGTGAATGGGTTGGTGAGTGTGTGGGTGGGTGAGTGTGTGGGTGAATGGGTTGGTCAGTGTGTTAGTGAGTGTGTGGGTGAGTTTATGAGTGAGTGGGTGAATGAGTGGGTGAGTGGGTGAATGGGTTGGTGAGTGTGTGGGTGAGTGTGAGTGAGTGGGTGTGTGCATGAGTGTGTGAGTGAGTGGGTGGGTGTGTGGGTGAGTGTATGAGTGTATGAGTGTGTGAGTGAGTGGGTGGGTGAATGGGTTGGTGAGTGTGTGGGTGAGTGTGAGTGAGTGGGTGTGTGGATGAGTGTGTGAGTGAGTGGATGGATGGGTTAGTGAGTGTGTGTGTGAGTGGGTGGGTGAGTGAGTGGGTGGGTGTGTGGGTGAGTGTATGAGTGAGTGTGTGAGTGAGTGGGTGAATGGGTTGGTGAGTGTGTGGGTGAGTGTGTGAGTGAGTGGGTGGGTGGGTGAGTGTGTGAGTGAGTGGGTGAATGGAACCTACCTGGTCTGTCGCTCCGCACTAAACTTCAGGTCTTCTCGGACACGGTCATTCCCTCCCTTCTCTACGCTTGCGAAACGTGGACCCCCTTAATGGAACATCTTCGCCGGTTAGAAACATTTAGGCTAGCCTGTCTACGATACATCCTGGGTTTAACCAGGCTGGATTGCGTGAGGAGATCACAAATCCTTGAAGGATCTGGGCAAGGTCCCATCGGTGAGCTCCTCCGGCAGGCAAGGCTGCGTTGGCTGGGCCATGTAGCCCGCATGCCCAGCCACCGCATGCCGAAACAGCTTTTGTTCGGCCGGATCGAGGGGGCTAAACGGGCGCGGCACGGGCTAGAGAAGAGATTGAGTGATGTGGTACAAGAGGACGTGGAGCTGAGTGGACTTGCCGATGACTGGTACCAGCGGTGTCAAAATCGGCCTCTGTGGAGGAGGCTCGTGAAGGACGCTACTGGGCAGTTGGAGGCAGTCGCCCTCCAGCAACAACGGAGGGCGGAGGAGCGACGCTCACAACAACGAGCGGAGCGCCGGGTGGCTAAAGCACAGCAGGTTGGCACAGTAGGGGGCACAGGTGGTGCATCAGTCATCTCAGTCATCTTAGTCAGTCGACCTGTGGCACCTGGGTCTGCCCCGTGACCTCCTGCCAGCGGGCGTTCGACACTTCACGTGGCCTCAAGGTGCACATGGCCTGGCACAAGTGTCGTGGTGACGTCCCGCCACTTAGTGGCGAATGGCGGTTGTTGTTAAATGGGTTGGTGAGTGGGTGGGTGGGTGAGTGTGTGAGTGGGTGGGTTAATGAGTTGGTGAGTGTGTGGGTGAGTGTGTGAGTGAGTGGGTGGGTGAGTGTGAGTGGGTGAATGGCTTGGTGAGTGTGTGGGTGAGTGTGTGAGTGAGTGGGTGAGTGGGTGGGTGAGTGAGTGAGTGGGTGAATGGGTTGGTGAGTGTGTGTGAGTGGATGGGCGGGTGAGTGTGTGAGTGAGTGGGTGAATGGGTTGGTGAGTGTGTGGGTGAGTGTGTGTGTGAGTGGGTGGGTGGGTGAGTGTGTGAGTGAGTGGGTGAATGGGTTGGTGAGTGTGTGGGTGGGTGAATGGGTTGGTGAGTGTGTGTGTGAGTGGATGGGCGGGTGAGTGTGTGAGTGAGTGGGTGAATGGGTTGGTGAGTGTGTGGGTGAGTGTGTGCGTGAGTGGGTGGGTGGGTTAGTGTGTGAGTGAGTGGGTGAATGGGTTGGTGAGTGTGTGGGTGGGTGAATGGGTTGGTGAGAGTGTGGGTGAGTGTGTGAGTGAGTGTGTGAGTGAGTGGGTGGGTGAGTGGGTGAATGGGTTGGTGAGTGTGTGGGTGGGTGAGTGTGTGAGTGGGTGGGTGGGTGAATGGGTTGGTGAGTGTGTGTGTGAGTGGGTGGGTGGGTGAGTGTATGAGTGAGTGGGTGAGTGGGTGAATGGATGAGTGGGTGAGTGAGTGGGTGAATGGGTTGGTGAGTGTGTGGGTGGGTGAGTGTGTGGGTGAGTGTATGCGTGAGTGGGTGAATGGATTGGTGAGTGTGTTGGTGAGTGAGTGTGTGGGTTAGTGTGTGAGTGGGTGGGAGGGTGAGTGTCTGAGTTGAGTGGGTGAATGGGTGGGTGAGTGTGTGGGTGAGTGTGTGAGTGGGTGGGTGAGTGTGAGTGAGTGGGTGAATGGGTTGGTGAGTGTGTGGGTGGGTGTGTGGGTGAGTGTATGAGTGAGTGGGTGAGTGGGTGAATGGATGAGTGGGTGAATGGGTTGGTGAGTGGGTGAGTGTGTGGGTGAGTGTGTGAGTTAGTGGGTGAATGAATGAGTGGGTGGGTAGGTGAATGGGTTGGTGAGTGTGTGGGTGAGTGAGTGGGTGAGTGTGGTCCGGCAAAACAACCCACTGCCTCCTCGCGGTGCCGGACGGGCAACTCTGTCGTGGACAGTGCTGTGAGGGGAGGTCCAATTCCGATTGGCTCCTCCTCTCATGGCGTCTGTGACCACCACAGGGGCTAAACGGGGGCTCTGGACGGGTGCGAGGGGCTGGTAACCCCTCCACCTTCAAAAATTTACCACTAAACCACGTCTAAAATATCTAACTAATAAGCTTGTGCCGGAGGCCCTGGGGGAGACAGGCATCTATGACGTCTCCTGGCCAAACCCCAATTGGCGGAGCCAGGAGATTGAATCTCTACCATCAGGGCTCCTCCAGAAACAACTAAAAGCCATTACGTGTGGCTACGTGGAATGTTCGAACGCTCACTGCGGAGGAGAGGCTTCCACTCCTCTGTCAGGAGCTGGACCGGTACCGCCTTGATCTCTGTGGCATTCAGGAGGTCCCGTGGACCGGTTCTGGCTCCTGTCACCATGAGGGGTGGGTAGTCCTCTACTCGGGGCAGCAGACTGCCAAACAACAGGGTGTGGCTCTTCTTATGAACAAAATAATGAAGGGGGCGTGGGAGCGTGGCGGTGGGAAGCTGTAAGCCCCAGGCTACTTCGGGCTCACTTTCCCATCAATCGGAGGCGAGGAGTGGTGGTCGTGGTTACTTATGCCCCCACCGAAGACGAACATCCGTGGAGGGATGCAGGCAAAGCCGATGAGTCAGATGCCTTCTATAACCTCCTGTCACAGGTGCTGGCTAAAGTGGCCCTTCAGAATAGAGTCATCTTGTTGGGTGACTTCAATGCCCGAGTTGGTCATGATGCTGGCACCTTGTCTGGAGTAATTGGAGGGCATGGGCCAGATCAGCTCAATAACAACGGTGGGAGGCTGCTAGAATTTTGTGCAGCCCATGGGCTTGTAATTACCAACACGCTGTTCCGGCATCGGCGCATCCACACAACATCATGGATGCATGCCGGGTCCAAGCAAGAACATCTGCTGGAATACATAGTGACGGACCAGCAGATGCGAGCCCATGTCCTTGACACCAGGACTTACCATGGAGCTGATCTGCCCTCTGACCATCGACTTGTCATCCGTAAGATGCGCCTGCCATTCTTCCGCTCCGGTGGTGGGTGTACACTCAGGACCCCATTCCAACCTAAAGTGGCCTGGTCTCAGTTATCTGATGAAAGTTGCAAGTTAGAATTACACCATTGCCTGCGGCTGAGGTTGGCATCGTCCTCCACTCCTCCTGATGTCGAGGGTAAATGGGCGAGGTTTAGGACTGTCACTCATGCAGCTGCATTGGCTGCTTTGGGTACGCGGTCCAGACCTCCCCAGAGACCCTGGCGACAAAGGAGGTGATCAGGATAGTTGAGAAAAAGCGACAGGCCCACTGTCATCGGCTACAGAAGCCCACGTCAGAAAATGAGGAGACATTCCGCAGCCTTCGCTCGGAGGTTCGGAGAGCCGTGAGGCGCTGCAAGGATGGGTGGTGTTCGCGAGTTGCTGAGGAGATGGAGTCTGCCTCAGTAGCCCGCGATCACAAATCTCTATTTAACTCCATCAAAAAAGTAACTTGCAGCGCCACACCTATTACCATCATTCGGGGAAAAAACGGTGATCCAATCTCCGACCCCCAGGAACAGGTTTGCAGATTTGCTGAGCATTTCTGTGAGGTCCTCAGCCAGGAAAACATCGTGGCACAAAGTGAGGATGACCCTGCTGAGGCTGCGGTGCCTCAAATATTGTAAGAAGTCACCCCCTGTGAGTGGCTAGCTGAAGTGCCATCTTTTGAGGAAGGGCTGAATGCGATCCAGAGTCTGAGACCAGGAAAGGCAGCGGGCAGAGATGATGTCCCAAGCGAAATGCTGAGGGAGGGTG